AAAAAAAAAAAAGGAATAATCCACCCTTGCCAGATTATAAAGTGATGGGGCTTGCTGCAGTGCTAAACTACCATAGAGAGCACTGTGGGAGGCAGAGAGGAGAGTGGTGGAGAAGGAGCAAAGGTTAAGTAAAAACATCTTTGAGAGACGAAGTGTTCAAAATACTTTTCTTTTATCTTTACCAAAATTTCCAAAGAAATCTGGTATCAGACAAGAGTTGCCCACCAAGATTATTTCCTTTGTTAAACTGCAAATCTGACTGTATTTGCTTCTTAGCTAGAGAACTCACCTACTTTAAATATGCAAACTACTGGAAATGATAGGATTGCTTAATCCTGAATGTAAATATCCTTAGGAAGGTTTCTAAGTATAAATTAATTTATGTAGTTGAAATGTAAGGGTATCTACTCCAAGAACTCATTAAAACATCAATTACGGGCATCTGGGTGCCTCAGTCAGGCATCCGATTCTTGGTTTTGGCTCTGGTCATGATCTCAGGGTCTTAGGATCAAGACCCACATGGTATCTCCCCTTGGTGGGGAGTCTGCTTCCCCCTCTCCCTCTGCCCCTCCCCCTGCTCATGCGCGTGCTCTCTCTCTTAAATGAATAAATAAATCTTTAAAAAAAACAACATCAATTAAGCAGGGAACCTGGGTGGTTCAATCAGTTTTAAGTGCCTGACTCTTGATTTCCGCTCAGGTCATGATCTCAGGGTGGTGAGATCAAGCCCCAGGTCAAGCCCTGCTTCAGGATCTTCTCTCAGCGGGGAGTCTGATTGAGATTCTCTCTCTCCCTCAGCCCCTGTCGCTCCAGCTGCACTCTCACTCTCTCTCTCAAAATAAGTAAATAAATAAAAGTTTTTTAAAAAACCCAAAACTTCAATTAAGCCAAAGCAATTTTGAGAAAGAAGAACAAAGCTGGAAGCATCAAAATCCAATTTCAAGATATACTACAAAGCTATAGTAATCAAAACAATATGGTACTGACACAAAAATAGACACAGATCAATTATGCAGCCATCAAAAGGAATGAGATCTTGCCATTTGCAACGACGTGGATGGAACTGGAGGGTATTATGCTGAGTGAAATAAGTCAAACAGAGAAAG